CCTTTTTTTTTTATGGATGGGTGCTTTTTATTTTACTTCTTTTGGACTGAAGCACTGCAATGATAGAGCTTGGAATAGCCGGGACAATATTTAATATAACTCCGACTGGATTCATCTGAAAGAAGAAAGTCATATACACCTAGGATACCTCTGGGGTGAGTAAAACACAGACTAATTTAAATTTTTGGGTGAACTAACCCTTTAACTCCTAACATCGTCAGCATGTGTACTTGTTTACTGAAGACCACATCTAGCTGGTGAAGACATTTTACGGTATTTTACGCAATCATAACCCGGAGAAGAGACACAGAATAAAGACCCAAGCAAAGTTACCCTATAAGAATTTATTAGAGTCTGTGGAAATCCAAAGATGCACTGGTATACAAAAGATAATTGATGCATCAAAAGTTATTTTTTTCTTACAATGAAATGCAGAATCTCTTCTAAGAAATTACTTGCATTTAATAATATGGCATTAAACAGCTCTCTCAAAATCACATTTTCGCTACTTTTTTCCTTTATTTCTTTTAAAACTTTAAAATTCTAAGATACTAGAATTTGTAAAATACACAAAAATTATATAGTATAAGCCAGTAGAATTTCACAAAAAAAAGAAGAAAAACATACAGTACAGGAGAAAAACAAATGGAGTGAAAATGGAGGGAGTTTCTCATTTATACAGTGAGATAAAGAAATATCACTTGTATTTCCGCATACCAAATAAAAGCCTGTCATGCAGGCAAAGAGGAATACGGGCAAAAATAATGTTACTGTCACCTTTTATAAAACTTATATATATATTGCCAAAAATCGAACAGTGTCTGACAGTCAACATACAGCTGTGGTTTTGCTTTGAGCTCCACGAGGGCTGATTAACCCAAAGTTTTTTCTTTTTTTACTTACAATACATGAGTTTTGCTTTGAGCTCCACGAGGGCTGATTAACCCAAAGTTTTTTCTTTTTTTACTTACAATAGCACATTGTTTTTTTTACTTACACTACAACAAGCACATAAAATACTCACAAAAAAGGTGAATTAGTATGATCATTGCTTAATGCATCTTACTTTGAATTTTATAGGCAAATGGCAAAAAAAGTACAAGATGTATTTAAATCTTATTGGAATAAAGAATTGTAAGACTACCACTACTTTCAGCTATTTTAAACCAGTGACTAAACCGCCAATTTTGCGACAGGACAGGAGGGCACAGAGGAACCAGTTGTGTTAACCAACAGTATTAGCGTGTTAACGTAAGAAAAAAGATAATTAAACAGAAAATCATAGTACGAAGGACAGGCGTGAATGTTTTACATAAGACGGCACTGGGTTCCTGGGAGGTTTATAAAGGGGATCACGGGAGTCAATGTCTTGATCCCAAAAACAACTCCCTGCTTGACATGTAGCATATATGATGTAGGGTACTAACTAATGCCTTTTACACCCTGAATAATGCACTTAGTGCCAAAAAAGGAATCTTTTTAGACCAAGTTGTTTGTTTCTGTTCTTGCTAACAGTGCTGACCTTCTAAGCAGAAGATGTGGTATGGGCCAAAGAATACATCGCATATAATCCCACCCCAAAAGCAATCAGTGATTGTGAGCCACTGTGAAACCATGTCAATCTTTACCCTACATATACACTATCCTTACACTTGTGATCAGTCTGAAGGCTTAAGGTCAACTAATCTTGATTTGAAAGAGGACTGATGGCCATAAAAATGTTGAAGTCCCTTTTTGCCGGTGCAGTTGTCCCTACAATCTTCTGTAGTTTCCTTTGGCCTGGATTGAAAATGACCCTCCCTGACCCCCGAGTACATAATTAACACTAGGGGCGTTTCTTCCCTCTATTTGCGAACTTTTATAGCTCTTTCATTTTCCTTGGCCTAGTTTGGTTACCCCTTTCCCTCCCTCATTCTTTTCTTTTCCTCTCTCGTTTTCCTCTCTATAGCAAAGCACAGGGATTCTTCTTGCCACGTTTTTTGGCTTGGAGCGCCGCTCTTGTGGCCATTTCGAACACTTCCCTCACGCCATCCTTAGTTTTAGCCGAACACTCAAGGTAGCCGAAGGCATTGATGCGATTAGCCATGTCTCGCCCTTCCTCTGGTTTAACTGGTTCCTGTTCAAGGGAGAAAGCATTGACAGGGCATTCGTACATTATAACATAACGCTACAACACAGCAGTAACAGCAATTTGTCTAACTTTTTGTTATTTCCATAAAAAATATAGTAACTGTTTTATAAAAAAAGAAAGTGTTAGCCCACACACCTGTTTCATCTTCTGCAGCTCCCGTCGAGTGTGATCATCATTCCGTAAATCTTTTTTATTACCCACCAGAATTATTGGCACATTTGGACAGAAATGTTTTACCTCCGGCGTCCATTTTTCTGGGATATTTTCTGTGTGAATAGAGTATGGCTTTCAATAGAGTGACCACAGGAATGTGGTCTTACACTATAAAATATTTAAAGACTGAAATTAGGCCGAAATATAATTAATATTAAAGACTGGCCACTCCAGAAAAGATGATCTCACCCAAACTGTCAGGGCTGTCTACGGAAAAGCACATGAGGATGACATCAGTGTCTGGGTAGGACAGGGGCCTCAGCCTGTCGTAGTCCTCTTGTCCAGCTGTATCCCATAGAGCCAGTTCCACCTGCCAACAAATGGTTAAAAATGATATTATCAGCATAACAATTTGCGTAAACGGTAAATGAACAACTGAACATGAATTTCTAAGCATTTAGCAGCACTCGAGCTGTCTGAGCTCCACAAGTTTGTGTAAAGTCTTATGATCATATTTAAGAATGATCCAACGTCCACATGTTCAGTGTCACATATTTGAATAATGGCAAAGTCATAAAATATTATTCACAAAAATACACGCAATTTTTATATATATAGTTAACTACCATTCAAAAGTTTGGGGTTTGTAAGATTGTTTTAAAGAAATTCATATTTTATTCAGCAAGGATGCATTAAACTGGTCAAAAGCAACAGTAAAGACATTTATAATGTTATATTAGATTGCTGTTTCATGTAAATGCTGTTCTATTAATCAAAGAACCCTAAAAAAATTTATCAGTTTCCACAAACATATTGAGCAGCACAACTGTTTTCAATATTGATAATAATAAGAAATGTTTGAGCAGCAAATCAGCATATTAGAATGATTTCTGAAGGATCATCATCGTGACACTGACGAATGGAGTAATAACGCTGAAAATTCAGCTTTGCCATCACATGAATAAATTACAAATGTATATTAAAATAGAAATAGAAAATTGTTTTTAAATTGTAATACTATTTTGCAATATTACTTCATTTTTCAATCAAATAAATGCAGCCTTGGTAAACATAAAAGACTTCTTTCAAAAACATTTAAAAATCTTACAGACCCCAAGATTTTGAATGGTAGTGTATGTTGAATATTGTATATTTTAACAATATTTCAATAATGTGTTCATATGAATAAATGTATTTATATAAATATACATATGATTATGATTGTAGTTAATCACTTCACAGATGCACACGATGCTTTCCAACACAAGCAAAAGACAATCAATCACTCACTGTTGACCCAAAATAAACCCCATTCATTACAAACTAACTCTACATAAAAATGCAAAAATAAGAATACAGGAAGAACACTATTAAAGGGATACTCCACCCCAAAATGAAAATTTTGTCATTAATCACTTACCCCCATGTTGTTCCAAACCCCTAAAAGCTTTGTTCGTCTTCGGACGGCCTTCAAGGTCCGGGTAAGTGATTAATGACAAAATGTTCATTTTGGGGTGGAGTATCCCTTTAAGACGTTAATGAACAATCTGAGGAAGTTACTTGTTTCAAAAGTTCAAATAGCTACAGAAGAGACACATGAATGCTGTAATAGACCAGCGGTGATTCTGGCTTTGATGACATTCTTACCTGTTTGCTGTCCACCTCAATATCAGCAACATAGTTCTCGAACACTGTGGGTACGTTCTGTACACATTGTTCTTGTGTCATTATAGCACTGCAGTATCAACCCCCCCTCTCTCACACACACACACACACACACACCTCCCAGCTGCTGTCACAACACACCGCACCCTGCTCAATTCACTTATCAACGCCAGCAAAACACACATTTAAGCATTACACATACATTTGGACTCGCTGTGAAACAGCTGACTGCAGTCGGGTCAAAATAATGTCGCTCAAGTGACCTTTTATAGTTTAACAATGAGTAAACCATTGATTCAACGAGAGTGAAGGCTTAATGAGGGATAAAATAGCCGTTTAAAGGGCTGAGTGTTATATTGCAGAAAAAAATTAGAGATGGTGATTATAACAGCCGCATGTCCCCGGTTTGGTTTACTTCCTATGCTAACTGGGACGCCTCATCTCACGGCCTAATGAGTGTAAAATGAGCACCGTTTGGATTAGATTCGACTAGATCCACAAATCAATTCTAGTATTAAACTTTCCAGACGTGTTGCAGTTGCGATCATCGGAGTTTAATGAAATTATGAACTCATCTTCGGCATCTTGTTGTTCGTCCGTTTCCGTCATCATCACACTTAGCCGTTTAGCACTGAGCTAGCCGCATATGAAAGGCATCTTTTATCTCACTGGAGCGGTTTTTAAAAATGCTAATCTGTTGTATTGGCTCTAGACCGTATGGGAAATAAATAAACATATCGATTGTAAATATCAGAGGTGTTTTTGTGTAAGTATTTATTTACCGTTTTTCTTTCAGATGTCCTCGCTTTCTTTATCTTTTCCTGTACGACCCCAAGGCCCCGCCCCGCAGACGGTGCCACGCCGCTAAGACACGCCCATTCTCGTCGTTTCCACCAATCAGAGGCAGAGACGCTGGAGTGACGTCCAAAAGCCAGTAGCCCCTCACTGCAGAACATAAGATCCAGGGGGCGTGGTTGGATCCACATCTAGGGGGTGGAGATTGGTAGGTTTAGGGGTGGAGTTGGGTGGGTTTAGGGATCAGTAGGTGGAGACTGGAAGGTTTAGGTATATGTAAGCTGGGAGGAGTTGGATCTGGATCCAACCACGCCCACTGGATCTTGTGTTCTGCAGTGAGGACCATCTCCCAAAAGCAGGAGAACAGCAACATATTTTTTGAATGACTTTTTAGTTGAAACAGACTTTCTTCTCATATCTCTTAATTTAAATAACAATATAAAATATGAGTCCTAAAACAGTGTAAGGAATGTTTGGAGATAATATTGATGGGGTTCAATTTACTTCATTATACTAATATATGTATATATATATATATATATACACTGTGTATATATATATATATATATATTTCTCCTTTTACATGTAAAGTCTTGTCTAGATGCTCGTTCATGTTCCACTGAAGGTGTACAGTATTTCTGTTTCTTTAATAAAAAATATTGAATGACTGATATATGTGGCTTCTTCCTCAAAACAACACAATGCATTAAATGTTGTTCCGTTTCTGTTTTAAGACATCATTCACCATTTTAGTTTAGTTTCTTATGAAAATAGTCTAAAGATACCAATAAATAATAATTTAAATATTTAAATTAAATATAATAATAGTTTAAAACATTACTTTCTTGAAATTTTAGCCAAAGTAGAATACATACCAATTTAAAAAAAAAAAAAATTTTAGATTATATGCCCAACATTATATTGCACCACAAACCAGCTACTTTCAGTTGTTGTACAGCATAGAAATACTTTAGAAATACTTTGGCCCTGTCTGTAATTCTTAGCCTTACATGCTTACATGTTAATATTGCAAAAATAAGAAAGATTACATAAAATGTGCACAAACATGCATAAACACTCAACTTTGTTACACCCATACGTTTGCAAACAAAAAGCTAATTCTACAGGTTCATGCTTTTTCAAGTACTAGTTGAAAATACCACAAACCACTATATTATAACATTTTTTATTACATTATAGTTGAAGGGAGACAAATGTACAACAAAAGACAAATTAACAGGATAATTATTGACAAAATGTTGTCTACTCCTCTCCAGAGGAGGGCAGAACAATCGTGCTGGGATCGTAATAATTTTCAGTCATGAGGGGAAGACCCTCGGCTTCCCTCTGTTTGATCAACCTTTCAGCTTCCCGGCGAGACCACTGCCTCATACTGGAGGAGAAAAACATGATAGAGACGGAGATTATGGACATTAGATTAAAGAAAATGGCAAACCATTATTCCTTCAGATTAAATAAAACAACACGTGGAAAATGCACACTTGGAGACCAATGCATCTAAGCAAACCATTAATTAGCCAATTAATGTAGGTCAAGATACAAATAGCTTTAAATTACAATGATATATAAGCACCAAATTCACCCTCCACATTGCACTATTTAATAGCTAAATGCTTTTTTACAAGCTTCAAGATTGAGATTTATGTCTTAAAATCAAGATAAACCCTTACACATGTTTTTTGGGGACCTCGTCTTATGCCTAGTTTTTTTTAAACCTTTTGAACAATTTCAGCACAAAGTCCTCAAGAATATTATCATGCTCTTCTTCAAACAGACTGGATAATCGATATAGATATTATCTGTCCTCAGAACTCTTCGCAAATATCTACAGTATAGAATAATACATTCCAAAACTTTTCAGTTCAAGTAATGTGCAAAATATAATTGCATAGTAGTGAAAAGTAGGAGTTTCACAATTGAGTTATAAATTTCATGGTTCACTCATGACATATAAAAACATATGTATTAAGGATATTAGATTCTAATTGGTCAATCACTGTATTCTGTGCTAAATTTAGAGCCCTTTCATTCATACACTTACCCATGATCTGGTAAATAGTGGATGAAAGTCCCTCCAACAACAATGGCCACAGAAATGCCAAAGAAAAACGCCAACCTCATGTTCCATTCATCCACAAAAGAGTCATGATGATGGAAGCCATGGAAATCTGGATTCTGAAAAGATAAAGATGAACATTTGCCATTTATAAACTTAAACAAGTTAACACAAACATCACTGCAGCAACAGAACAGAACAGAACAGAAACATAGCAGGCACATCTTTGCAATATGCAATACCATGCATATAATAAATAAAAAATGGAGTTGGATCATACAGTGCACAATGTAAACATGTACCTGTCAAACTTCATACAGTTTAAACTAAGATTTTATTGAGCAGCCCCCGCGTGTCAATTAACCCACTGCTAATTACTTTCCGTGCATCATACACATGAGTTTGTGGTCCTCTTACCTTCTCAAACGGGCTGACCTCTGCGTGTCCATGACTGTCCTGAGAAGCGGGAGACACGGGCTGCAGATCAGACGCCACCGCCGCTCCAGACGCGCTGGAATTCGGCGTCTGCGACACACAGCGGCTCCCGAGCGCCGAGCTCAACCGAACCCGGGACAGGGTGGGCCAGAACCGGCTCAGCCGTGAAGCCATTTCCCCCGATTCTCTGTACGCAGAATCTGTTTCGAGACAGCTACAGGTTATTTTTTCCGGGTTAAAATGAGGTTCTGTAAGTTTTCTGCGATCCTTACCGCCACCCGGTGTCGCGGATGTATTATAACCATACAGTCTATGAATGATAACGCAGAAACGGTCAGTTGTAGGAACCATTGCCAAACAGCAGGTGCCTCCGTTTCGATTTCTTGCGTTTACAAATCTGAACTGGATCTGTAGAATCATGTATGAAAAATAACAATGGCTTGGCAGTAAACTATTCTTGGAAACGCTTTATAAATATTTCCACATCGTGCATTACAGAATTTCTGTGCAGTATATCATTTTTTTCATACCATTACAAACCCATGTGTGCAATTTTCAATTCACTCATTTGACATTTATGTCATATTATCTGTACTCTCTGCACACACATATACACCTCTGCACAGTATATCAGTTCTCTGTACATATACTTTTCATTCTGTAAAAGCTCTTCTTCTGTACTTGTTTTTCTTCGTGTAGATTGATATTCTGTGAGTACCAGACGTTTATGTAAAAAAAAAAAGTCAAATTTCCTGTGTGCTTAAGCACTCTATCAGGTTCTAAATTTGCATAAAAATGCTTTTAAACGTGTACCTGGGGAATAGCTGATACACTATGATTTTAAGCATAAATTTATCTCTAAGGTACATGTGTGTGCCATCAGATGTCTTCATGGGTTTGTTATCTGACTGCAGAAGCAGGAAGTTGTCAAAACCACAGAGCTTCAGCTCTTCAACATGTTCCTCCCTCGCAAGAAATCTAGTTTACACGCATGAACACATTCTGACCATCTGAACCTTTTTGAATTCACCACAATAAAACATCCTGAAAAAATGCTTAATATTTATTCAGTGTACATTTAGTCTATATAAGGTTTTGAGTAACTTAGGAGTCAATCAGATATTTAACAACTACAGTACAATACTTTTCAAACAGTGTGACGTGTACAAAACATTACTATTTAATAACAAGCTATTAACAAACACTGACAATATGAAAAAGTATCCTTTTTTAATGTCATGAGGTCTTGGCATCTAGCAAAAATAACTTTCCTTCATTCAAATCAGTCTTAACATTGAGGAAGAGAGATTTTATTTTTCTTCTGAGGTTAAGGTATTTCCATATCTCCATTTGTAGACAAACGCCTGTCAGATTCACACCCTCCTCTGCTTTCCATGTTTTCTTTGCTTTCCTCATCCTGCTCATCTGATTTCTGCCTCATACGTAGTCCTGGATCCTTCTGCGAAGGAATGCGAAAGCTGGAAAAAGAGCCGCTTCCTGAGGGCCGTTTTTCTAGATGACGACAAGCAAAAAAAATATAGGGAAGTTAGAGGGTGTGTATTTATTGTGAAATCAGAAAAACAAGGGTGAATTATCTTAAAGGAGCTGTCTTAAGGGAATGTGGTTATGTGCATTTTTTTCTCTGAAACCGCAGTGAAAACAGACCTAGATTGCATGCCACTCACAGTCTTTGCATTAACCTCCTACTCAACCTATGCTGAAATGCCAAGTTAATTCAAAGATCTTGATTACATAT